TTTCTTTCCCCCCTACCTCCCCCACCCTCCCACCCCTGTGGATCCTTGATCAATTATATATTATTTTTGTTATTTTGTGTCTTACACTGTCCGTTCTCTCCCTTCTCCCACATTTCTGGTATTCGTCCCCCTGGGGCTGGGGGCTATATATTTAAACTTAGGATGGGTTCCCCGTTTCTTCACAAACACCCCACCATCCCCCTACCCTCTTGATATCTCTACTCCAACTACTGTTCCTGAGGGGTTCACTTATGCTGAATTCCATATCTGTACTAATGTGTGTACCCCAGTCTAGCTGGTTTTTTAAGGTAGAGCTCTGTCATGGTAGTGGGGGAGAGAGGGGGAAGGGAACATTCAGGAATTAGGGGAATGATGTGTGTTTTGTCCTTCTGATTTAAAACAAACAAACAAACAAACAAACAACCTTCTTGGATAAAACTGGGAGCAGGGGGAAGAAGTACAAGGCTGTCTGCCATCACCCCCACTTACATCATGGAGGGTGAGGCGGCACACTTTCAGCCCCCAGTGGGTCCCTCCACTCAGAGGGCACAGCCGGCACCTATCCATCCTCTGGCCCTGACTCCCTCGGATGATGCGGCCTGCTAAGCACCAGGGCGCTCACAGAGCCCCTCCGGTGTTCACAACATCCTTCACAGAGCAGAGCACAGGCTGGTGGTCTTTCAGGAAGTGAAATTGTTCAACAACAAAAAATGCAGATAAGAGCATTTGATGCAACACCCCCTCCCCATGTATTCAAGGGCATGCACCCTTGAACGAACCCTTCCACCCCGGGCTGCCTGACATTCCCCCCACCCCCACACACCCCGTGTGGCCCTATGGGTCTCTCTCTCCATTGCCTGGTGAACTGGCCTGCAGCCCGGAACTGCTCCCAAGGAAGGGGTAGTTTTGTCAGTGTGACCCTCGGTCTCGCTGGTGTCTGAGGGGTGATAAAGGGCTGGCGGGCCCTCTGTTCGGTATTGTCGCTGCAGTAGACCCTCTGTATTGTCCTGCAGTAGACTCTCTGTATTGTCCTGCAGTAGACTCTGTATTGTCCTGCAGTAGAC